AATTTTGGGATATGTACAATTATGGGAGAGAACAGATAATTCTGGGAGGGATAAACAATTATAGGAGAGTCAGAAGAATTTTGAGAGAGCAGTAAGGATTATGGGAAAGCATAGCAAATTATAAAAGGGCAGGAACTGTGGGACAGCATCAAGGATTCTACGAAAGCATGCAGGATTATGGAAGAGTATAGAGTACTATGGAACAGTTCTGAGGATTGTGGGATAACACAAAGGATTGTGGAAGAGTGGAGGACTATGGGAAACTGTGGAGAATACTGGGAGAACACCGAAGATTACAGACCATGGATTTGTGGAAGAGCAATAAGGATTGTGGGAGAACACAGAGGACTGTGTGAAATGTGAATTGTGGGAGAGCAAAGAAGATTATGGGAGGGTACTGAGACTTGGGGGGGGATTGTGGGAGGAAGGGAGATTGTGGGAGACCATGGAGAGTTGTGGGAGAACAAGGAGTATTGTGTAAGAGCATAGAGCTCTGTGGGAGAGCAGTGACGATTTTAGGAAAGTCTTGAAGAATGTGAAACAATGTAGATTGTGGAAGAATGTGGAAGATAGTGGGAGAATGTGGAGGATCCTGGGAAGTGTGGAGGGCTGTCAGAGAGCTCCACTCCAGAGACAGAGGAAGAAGGAAGAGGCATCCCTTGTGTGGCATGGTCGAGCTGCAATCCCTTCTCTTCTTTCTTTCCATTTTGTCTGGATTTGGGGCACACATGTGTACATGTGTGCCTGTCATGCTTCTCAGGCCATAGGGTCTAGGACTTGAACTGTGTATTAGTCTGTGTGGGATTCAGCTCCCTTAACCAGCATACTACAGGCTGTCCCCCACCCCATTACACTTTTATGGTGGCCAGGCTAAGTCCTTCGAGCTCAGCTGTGAACACCTAGGGCCTTGCTCCTGCTCTAGATCAGATCTATACCCCGTCCTGTATCCACTACTCCTCTCTAAGGCTGCTTCCCTGGCTTACCCCTTGGGTTCATCAATGGACACTCTACTCCCACCATAGCCAGGAGTCCCTGGAAGCCAAGGGACCACCTGGGAGGTAGGAGAGAACAGATCTTCATGGTACATAGGGTAAAAGGGGGTGTGTTTTGGGCAAGAAGGGAATGGCCAGGCAGAGCCAAGGGGGGGAGTAGCTTTGCAAAGTATGATCCTGGTCATAGGGAGTACAGGGGCAAGGTGAGACAATGGCCCATATCTCCAATAGAGGGCAGGGGCACAGAAAAGCTCAAGGAACCATTTGTCTGCATCTCCCACAATTCTTTGTCTTTCCCCAAAGTCCCTGCATCTCTCACAGTTCTTTCTTTTCACTCACAATCCTCACTGCACTCTCACATTCAGGCCCCAGAGCTTGCTCTTGCGGCATCTGTATACAACAGCCCCACACCCTATCTGTGGTTTTGTTTCCCTAGGTGTC